CACATATTTTGCCTGCTGCCATCTATTGTCGCCCAAAGTACATTTCTTTGACTTTTTCTTCATTTTTAGGTTTCCTAATTGTAGAGCGGCAATGGCAATTTTCTTTGAAAAATTGGGAGCCGTTTCTAAAAAAACTGGCGTTTAAGCACTACCGTAAATTCGAATTTTAAAGCTCTTTTCCACAGAAAATATTTCTGTTTTCGAATAACTTAATTTGAAGTAATTTTAAGTACTTTAACTCAAAAGTACCAAAGTGTTTACAAATGGTTTGAAATGTGCATATAAACGGCGTAAGATATCTTTCACAAAATTGACATTAGTGTAATTTTTGAAAAAAACAACATCAGAAAATACACAGATATTAATTTTACGTCAAATTAAAAAAAGTGCAATATCAGTATCAATTCGAAATGTTTGAAGAAAAAATAGGAAATTTTCTTTTTTTGAGATATCGCATAAAACAATTTTCGTCGGCTTCGATATTAAAAGCATTTGACAGGATCAAAAAATATTTGAAAATTTTCAGCATATAAGTAATACCCATATTTGAAAAATAATGTATATAAAATTTTTTAAATATCTAAAATTTTGGAAACTATAGCATTTCATAAAAGTTTCAAGCATTAATATAGTGTAATATGAGTTCGAAAAAAATGAAATTTTGCAATTATTTACACTCCCCGCAAATAAACAGTGATGATGAATTTCAAGAAAAAAATAAGAGCCATTTTCGAAAAAATTGTGTTTTCCTATTTTTTAAATTGCCTTTTCACTCACAAATCGCGAATACCACTTGTTTTATTTTTAAATATGTAATATTGAGAAACCAATTATATAAGAAAAATATCTTTATAAACGTAGTTGATGGAGGGGTTGAAATCATTTAAATTTTTGCAAGTTTAGGAAATTGAGAGGCTTCAGTGCTATTTGGGCCTGATACATTGTGTAAACATGCATGTCGAGCAAAAAAGAATGTGGAGAATTTTTTGGAAAATGTTGGGACTTCATAAGAAATATCATAAAAATTAAAATATTATTTTTAAGTTCAAGAGGACATCAGTCGGTTCGCTCAGGAAAGATCGAGTTTCGTGGAAAAAATCTGTCTACGTGTTAGGGGTCAGTATTAATCATCGAAAGATGAATTGTAATAATAGCCAAAATCAATTTTTTCGGTATGTAAGACACGCTAAACATGAATTTTGTCTACACCGTGAATTTGAGAACGTAACTGGTGCTATATGCTGAAGAAGAAAGAATGACAGAAAAACAGAAAGAAAGAAAGAA